TCAAGAATTCACATAAAAAACCGCCCTTTATGTTCTAATAAAAAATTTTCCTTGACTAATTTTACTATACGTTCTCACTTTCCAAGCCCTAAATCTAGCACTAACTTTAACCTTAACAAATTTAAGAAATTCGGATTTGTTTTGTCCATCATCACGTGACCCGAAAAACTCGTGGTCGCCCTGGCGGATTCATTAACCGGAGGAGAAATTACCAGTTTGTGTAACATGTAAATCAGTATCAATTAAATAAACAGAATTCTCTTCTTTTAGTTTAGAGTAAGGGTCATGACCTATGATTAGAGTTAGAGCAGGCATAAATTGTATGCAAAATTTAGCAAGGAATTTTTTTTGTTAGAACCCAAAAGAGGGTTTCATTCGCGATTCTTAAAAAATTCTTTGTTTTTGTCGTACAAAATTAATTTATACGTTACACCTGATCCTGCAATTTTATTGGCTAATTACACACCGGTAATTTCCCCCCCGGTTAAAATTAGCAATACCCTTATATTAATCTAAAAATTATATTAGATTTTATATACTATATAGTATAAGTTAAAAATTTTAAAAATTTTTTATTAATTATTATTCATTTTTTAAATAAAAACATTTACCAATATAATTAATAAAAATATATATTAGATATTATTAGTGATTTTTTATTAATTTTTTAAACAAAATAGATTAAAAGCAAATTTATTATAAAATTCTAAACAAATTTGCCTAAAGTTGCTTACAAATTAAGAGATAAAAAGCTTTTTATCCAAACATAATTATCAAGAAATACAACTAAGTTATTTAAAACACAATTAAGTTCTATATAAAGATGACTTTGACTTTATTAGTTTATTTAAATATATAATGTAAAATATTTAAACAAAATTTTTTTAAAATATTTAGCACCGTACATACAATGTTATGCTTTACCCGATTTTACATTAAGCTCTTGGACGATACCTTCCTCCACCTCTTCCACCACGATTACTTCGATCACTGTCACGATGTTGATCCCTTCCACGATCAAATCTTTCTTCTCTGTCTTTATCTCTATTTCCCCACTCTCGATCTTGCTCGTTCCAATCACGATCACCTTTTCCACCACTATTTCTAGATCCTCTACTTCTTGGGCTATCTTGTCGATTACGATGATGGTTTCTTTGTCTTCTGTCAAGATAATCACGGTAATCCGAATGAGGAGGTGATGGTCGTCGATGATTTCGATCTCTTGGTGGTCTCATATCATAAGATCGTCGGTCTTCATGATCCCATGATGGTCGATTATCGAGATCCATTGGCCTGTTATCCGAATTCCTTTCCCACATAGGTGGCTGATTGTTAGTTTTATCCCATGGGCGATTATCCTGCGGAGGAACCCATTGAGGTTGTTCGCCAGGACGTCTGTTATCTGACTGCGCTGGTGGATAATGATATGGTGGCACATTTTGACCAACAGATGGTGGCCCATTTTGACCAACTGGAGGCGGTACGTTCTGACCAACTAGAGGTGGCACGTTCTGGCCAAGTGTTGGTGGACCATATGGAATTTGTTGCTGCGGCTGTATTGCGGGAGGTTGTTGTGAAGGTGGATAATTTGGGGGTGGATGTGCATAAAATTGTTCATATTGGGGGGGAAATCCTGGTGGCATCTGCCCCGGTGGAGGCATTTGTCCTTGTGGCGCTGGTTGTGGAGGACCTTGTACGACATGTGGTGGTGGTGGCATGAACTGACCGTTCGGTGGCGGCGCTGCGGCTGGAAAAGGTGCAGGGTATTGGTTCGGTTGAGAGGGCATATGCATCTGTGGCGGCGGCGGTTGTTGCGTAGGCATAGCATAAGCGGTTGGAGGACCATTGGGCGGAGGTCCATTAAATTGGGGTTGTGGTTGTTGGAATTGATTTGATGATGTATTTTGACTTGGAGCAGCTAATAATGACTGCAGTAACCCGGGGAAAATTCCGCTCGGTGCTGACGTCACCGCCGTCACATTTTGAGAAATTTGCTGGTTTGGCGGTGAGTTCGCCGGGGCTATAACCATATTCGTTTGTGGTGTCATAACGTGAGCCACCGGACTATTAGTTACAACATTAGCTCCGATATTTGGTTGGACATTACTACCCAATTGACCATTATATGCAGATTCTACTTTCTCTTTTTTAACTGACCGTGTTGCATTATTCACATTCAATTCACGTGGACGTTTCGTTTTCACAGATTCAGCTTCAACAATGACAATAGCACCCAATAATAATTTTGATTGACGTTTTTCATTATTTTTTGGTATTAGTAGCTCATCATAATCTAAAAAGGTAAAAACGTCAGGTACTTTATCATCTGGTTCTAATGGAATAATGTACATTTCCCTAACATTACTATACGCATTTGCAACGCGTCCATAACGCATCACCCTATCCTTTTGAGAATAGCGCAAGTAATTAAATATCATATCAAACTGTTGCTTGTCATCAAGATTATCAACATGTTCAAATTTGATAATAGCAACATCTTTTGAAGGCGAACACCAACTATCAATTAAATATGTTTCCGCTTCATCCACCCGTGACACGTGACCGTTAACCCTGATAACCGTTGCAAGAAAATCTTCCCAACATCTTTCTTTACTCCGTTTTTTTGCGGCAACAAGGCTTGCTTTGCCAGAAAATCTGGCTACACTATCATACACCAATTTACCCGACCATATATAAGTTAACGATAGTTTAGGCTCATTAAGGTTAGTAGGTACACCAGGAGGAGTATGAGGACTCATCTTAGGCGAGACTTGAGGAGAAAGTTGTGGTGAATTCATTGGTGAACTCACCGAAATTGCCGTAGGACTACCTGTCACATCAGTATCAATAAACATGTTATTATTATTTGCGGATGAATTCCGTGCAGGTTGTTGATCATTATTTTCTTCGTGTGGCGTAGCTTTAAAGAAATTAGTTCTGAGGTCTTCCGTACTAGATGAAGTCCTCCGAGACAAAGACTCATCTTTTGATGTATCACTGTTTGCGGATAATGGATTATTACCATCTGTTGTGCTTGCACGTCGTTTTGGCACTAAGTCTTCAATATTTATTTTCGGTCTTGTGTTATTAGGTGAGGTAAAAGTGCCGTTTGTGGTAGATGCAGTAGAATTGACATCTGGTGCATCTCGTTTGGGCGATTCATGTCCACCTTCGATTATTATGAATTCGCCTTTATGAGTTTTCTTTATTCTTGGCCCGTCATCAACTTTCAAAACCGATTGTTGCATACTTTCCCTACGAACTTTGACCATTAGGGATTTCTGTTCAGGATTCGCCAAATCCTCTGCAGACATCATTACTAATCGAACTGGCGGAATGTCACCTTTGACGACTTGCATTAATAAATCTTCGTTTTTTGGATGACTAAGACTTGTATGAAGATTTCGAAACTTTGATTTATAATTCTGACCCAAACCATCTTTATCAGTTTTAGCGGCAAAATTATCGTAAATAGATTCTTCAATACGCCGGGCAAGACGTTGAGCTAGTTGCTCCGGCCCTTCTTGTGTATTTTGTAATTCTCCTTTTTCGCTCAGTTCATTATATTTTTTAGCGAAGAGAGATTGGAACTTTTCCAAACATATATTTCGCACTTTGGTTGCATTATCACCCGAACTTCCTGACATTTTTTTCAGCTGCACAGGTATCTTTTTAATTTGAGATGGTCCTGGTTTGGTGCCTACTGGTATGGAATTAGAAACCATAGAAGGAAGCCTTTGATTAACAAGGCCTGTTTTATTAGTTGTCTGTGAAGAACCGTTAAGTGTTGCAGGTTGTGCAGGTTTTGGAAGTACAGGACGAGGCACATTTTTTTTATCCGCGGCAACAGGTGATGAAGATGAATCCGATCCCTTTGTCATTTTAATCTCTAGGATCTTATCATGTAATAAACAGCTTTCACCACAATAAGGATTATTTTCACGTGCAGGCTTTGAACAATCTTTAAACAAACATTTTGCTGGTTTTGGAGGTTCCTAAATTTAGATATCAATAAAATTAATTACAAGCATAAGCACTCGTGAATTCATTCTAACTTGATGATGACACTAATTGACATATGAATTTAGATATTTTAGACGTTTAACTTACATTAGATGTTGGCTCTTCAATTAACAATGCCTTTGGATCAATGCCCGTAGCCTCTGCCATTGGACGATCATCTATGAAGATTCAAGTATTGTTAGCAGAGTTAGAAGATTTCCTACATATATGTGGGTTGCACGATGCCGCAGCATGCCAAAAAAGCAAGAGTCTTTCAAATGCAAGCAATACAAATTTAAAAGAGAGCGAAGATTGAAATCATAAACTAAAATTACGGTATATATATTTTTTTTTTATGGTAATAATGCAACATGAATTATGATATAATTCTAAATGATCTTCGTGATGTCATCAGTTTGACGTATCCTTGTGTTACCAATTCTGTTACGGCACCTGCAAAAAATACAGCGAAAAAAATAGCGTGATGCAAGCGAAACACACCTTTGATTAAACCAATGAGTGAAGGATTTTCTACTTGACATTTTGGGCAATGGTATTTGTCAACTTCCTGCGCCTGTTGTGGCGTGATATTCACACACTCACAATGAAACCTATATATGACACAATTCAAGTATATGATGTAGAATGAGCACATCAACTATTGGATCTATTTTTTGTAAACCTTGGGCCAGGCATTTATAAAAGTTATGAACAATTTATTTTTTGCGATCACTATTGAAATTAAAACTTGCCACTCATTGCACGAATCACATTCAACCATGACTCCGAAAGCTGGACCACGACATATACAGTAAGGTCCATCATCAGTCTCTCCTTGACCCTTTTTAGGTCTTTGTCTTCTTTGCCGAGGTTGGATTCCAGGGGTAGGTCGCATTTGATTTGCGAACCGAGTTCCGTAAGAATGCCCTTGTTGAACTTGTATAGGTTGTTGTGGCTGCGTCATTAGAGTAGGATCGATAAGAAACTGCGTAGCTGCCTCAGGGTTTATCAACATCGATTGGGCATTGTTATCCTGAACCGTTTGTACAGAATCATGAAGTACGAGAGAAGATGTATTCCAATCTTGTGTAGTTATTTGACCGTCTGGTGTTGCACTGATATTCCATATTATTTGTGGACCGTCAGTCACGGCAATAGTATCAGAGGAGTGAACAAATTCATCAAAATGTATATAATTCAAATCTTCAACTGTAAAACCATTTCCGTTTTCTATAGTGGCTCCACCTAAATTTCCAAGTGATTGCCCATCATGTCTTTCGGTGTCATTTATATATTGTGACATGGAAACGTTTCCCATTTCCTCAGACATTACTACATTGTCATCCATTTCTCCACCGAAAGGCAAATTTACATATTTACTTATATCGCTATTTTCCATTAATTGACCTATTACCTTTAATAATCTGTTGTAAATATAAAAACGAATTATAAAATTTAATAATGGTACATTACAAAAAAAAAAAGAGCAGGTAACCGAGAAAAATACTGTTCCAGTAACAAAACGTACCTTCAAAGAAGAGATTGGAGGCGGTACGTTGTACAATAACGAATCTGCAACTTCTTTTATTAAACACTACGAATAAGCTAAATGCAAAACACTATTCAAATCTTTTACAAATGATTTAGATCTGTAAAACCTAATATTATTCTTTATTATCAATTTGAATATCTTAGCTAGGACCGATAGACAGAAAAACTTTACTTTTTTTAACCTTAGTTTTTTTTTTTTTTTCTTTTTTTTGAAACTACTGACTAACACCTCAATGTTACTTTCGAGTGTGAAGAATTACTCGCTATAGTTTGTTGTTGGAAGGAGTTATTGCTTTTTATTTACAATATGGTAGGGCTGTGCAACCGGAAAGCGTGGGTCTTATCAACGACTATCCTGATTTAGAAAATGAGTGGATGATGGCTGATATAATGATTAAGTTTCACTGTTTACTATTGGATAAAATTTATAAAATTTTTAGCATTAACGATCTAATGATTCATTTATCCAAATTATTATTTTTTATAATGAAATCTTTTAAAAATTAAACTTTAGCGTAAGGAAAAAAAGTCAGAATTGCATACTGGAGTTCAGAATTTATTTTATATACATACTGTCCCTTGCGCTGTCCAGCTAATATCGTGAAGTTTTTAATACAGTATAGTTTACAGATTACAATTTGCAGAAAAATTTGCCTGCAAGACGGGTGTAAGGGATATACGTAGTAGCTATTGGATTTTCAAATATTAAAAATTATTATATTGAAAGTACATATGTAAAAACATGTGAATAAAAAATGCTTTAGAAATTATTTTTTGATTAGGATATTTTTAACTTGTGCCAGTGGTTATGAATAACCAGGGTGCTATATCTCAAAAACCGCACTAGGAAACAGGGGTCAAGTGTACTAAGTAAAAATGTTTAGAGCCCAAAAACCTCGTGTAGCATTAAATTCGGCTCTTTATATCTAACACTATCTTAACTATTATAACTTCAAATTTTAGCAAAAAAACCACTTTTTAGTAAAAAATTAATATATAATAGAAATGGTTATTAACTATTGGCGCAAGTTAGAATAATTCTTTTAATATTTTTAGTAAAAAATTTTTAATATTATATATATTTACTTATTAGTATTTTGTTCTGAGGAAAGTAATAGTTTGGTAGAATCTGAAGTAAACCTGATTTAACTGATTTAGAGAAGGAATTATATCTCTTTACTAAAAAGCAAAGTTTTACTAATTGGAAACATATTAAAAAGTAAGTAAAGTCAAATATTTTTTTTTGAATATTAATGATATAACTATGCTTCTATCTTTATTGAAATTTAATTAGACTCTTTTGCAAAAAAAAGAATATATTTAAATTTCATATTTTAAGATACAGTAATAAGAAAAAAAACTTAGATTAGTTTATCTGCAGCCTAAACTAGTGTTACAGTATTGTAGTTTTCTTAATAATAGTATTATAGGGTGTGGTGACTTAGTGAACTTGATAAGTTGTCACACCCCCAAGTGGCAGGACAAGAGTTCGAATTTCACCAGCAATGAAATTTGAATTTGCAGAAATGCATTATGGTAAAACTGTATGATATATTGATTGGGTTAGCATCTGTAACCTTAGTTTTACCAACTCGTATTGGGAAGTTGTAGAACATAGTGTAATGTATGAGTTGCACAAATTCTGGATGAAGCAGCCAAATAAATCTAAGGGATCAGGTGATACAGAAGCCTGTTTGGTAGGGTTGTTAATGGATTAGGTTGGGTTGGTTTGGGTTAACCTAATCTTTAATCCACTCCACTAAATTAGACCTACTTTAATGTTTTGCTCTGGGTTGCTTCATAATACTCCGGGTTGTTTCAGGTTGCTCTAAATTTAAAGGTATAATTTTAAACCCACTCCAATTTGGATTGGGTTCTACTCTAGAGTGCTTTGGAGTAAGCTACTTCATTAACAATCTTACTGTTTGGGAAGTTCTGAATAGAAAGGTAGCACAGATTTTTGACAGTGCTATATAAAGAACTATCATCTAGGAAACAGACACCGAAAGCAAACTAAATGAGAACTAAGTGTTTGGTAAGCATTATACCAACCAGGTCACCAGATAACCAGAAGAAAAAGAATTCATTCAAAATACTAGGAAATGCCTACTGGCTTCTCTCAGGCCATCTGAATTAAAAGTTTGAGGTATCAACAGTTGGCATCAAAGTACTGTTGATAGTCTGTAAAGTGGATACTAGGGTTTGTATAAACTTTGCAAGGCCAAAGAGTAAATGACAATAGCAGAATTAAAATATTGCAAGTACTTGGCTGCAGTCTAAGCGTAAGTTACTGAAAATCTAAATAATATATGTATGAAACATAGACAGCTCTAGTAGGTTTATCACAAGTAGTGTTCAAAAACGGATTAAAAATCCTGGTTAATCCGGGATTAATCTGAATCTGATCTGAATCCGTAATTCGGATTGAATCTGGGAGTAATCCGTGTCAATCCGATGGTTTGTCACATATATTTGTCACAATATAAGTGATAAATTCGAATTTATCATGTGACAAATGCGAATTTGTCACTTATCTTGTAACACAAAGTGTGATATATTCGAATTTATCACATGACAAATTCGAATTTATTATATAGAGTGATTATATAAAGACATGACCTAAAATTAGGCCCAATCCCGCTCAATCTGGGCCCAATCCGACATTTCAGGTGCCAAACCTAATCCGACAGTTTGGATCTGCACAAATCCAAATCTGATCTGTGCTGATTTTTTCGAACACTAATCACAAGTATAAAGAATTCCTTATATGATAGTATATATCCGCTTTAAAGTTCTAAAGGATTTTTATGGCAGTTCCTCTTTGAAGAGAATATTCCAACAGCATTAAGTTGATTAGAGGGTTTAATTAAGTAACTTAAGTAATAGTGGATTATAGGTATGATATCTTGTATAATATTTAGTAATAGAGAACTACTTAATTAGGTGCTCAAAAAGTGCAAATATAGCTAGAATATATCCTTGTTAATGTAACAAAGTTAGGGGTAGCCCATATAGTTGCCTTGGTATTTGATCCAAAGTTCAATAAAATGTACAAGATCCCAAGTGATTACCTTAATATTTAAAAAAAAAAAATTAAAAAAAAATAGTAGTATTATAGCAATGACATGGCTATAGGAATTCTTCACAGGTTTTATAGCAGTATCCAAGAGATAAGATAATTTTTACTTCAATTAGAAATTATATCCTTCTTCTGTAACAGTTTTAGTAGACAATAGTTTATAGATAAAATATATATTTATTAAGATAAATAAGATAGCTATCCTTAGGTTTCTATTTCTAAAAAATCCTATAATATTACAAGGAAGAATTTAAAGAAAAAAAAAGTCTGTATTTATTTGGATGATAAAATAGGTCTAATGTTTATTTGAAAAAATTTATAGTCTTTTTATATCTTTAGAGCTAATTATTAATTATTGCAGCTAAGCATAGTTTACTTAGTGCTAAACATTAATTATAATTATTAATCATTAAGTATTAAGCATTAATTGTTAATTGTAATCACTAAGTATAATTTTTTTTTTTTTTTTTTTTTTCCTCGCAATGTCGCGAACAGGCGAATTTTTATTAGATATTTATATAGTACATTTACTATGACCTATAATTATGCCAGCCCATAACCTTGTGCTGCTACATTTAAAGACCACCCAGATCGATATGTGCTACATTACTTGTGACCTAATTCTATAGATAACCCAGTAGGGTTCTCATACTTACTGGGTTACCCTAGGGAGGGTATAGTATATACCTACCTAATCTTTCTATGTCTCACATATTTCTAGACTAGGCCTTTTCGGTAACTTACGCTGAGTCCGAGAACAAGTACTTGTGAGCCAAAGCCGCTACAGTTACCTACTACTGCTCTTGTAGAGTTCGCCCAAACCCTGGTACCTACTTTACGGACTCCCTCCCATACCTCTGGAAACCCAAACTCCCAATCCTACAGCCCAGAAGGGCGGACCCTTCCTCCGTTTTTCCCCGTCGGCCTGGTTGATATAGTGCTTTTGCCAAATACCTCAGTCCCGTCCAGTTTTCCGGTATCCGGTTGATCATCTTTTACATAGTAACCGTCAAGATCTGTGCTACCTCTTCACTCGGGTCTTGCTAAGCAGGCTTCCGTATCCTGTAAATTCACTGGATTTATCCAGTAATTTCACTCGGGTTTCATGTAATTCGTACATTACACTACATGTTTCACTATCTCCCAGTACAAGCTGGTATGACCACCATTACAGATTCTACAACCCAATAGGATACAGTCTTCCAAATGCATTTCCTATAATTTGAATTTTCGTCGCCAGTGAGATTCGAACTCTAGTCCTGCTGCTTGGAGGTGCAACAACTTGCCAACTTCACTAAGTCGTCACACCCATCTAAGTATAATTATTAATTGCTAAATGTAATTGCTAATCATTAATTATTAAGTGTAATTATTAATTGTTAATCACTAAATATAATTGCTAATTGTTAATTGCTAAGCATTAAGCATTAAGGTTAATTATTATATATATTTTTTAAATTTTTTTTTTTTAATCTTTAAAAGATATCTTTTAAATTCAACTCTAAGATAAATATAATGTTATAGAATGAGTTGTAGTATTAGTTTTATTATTAAGTTTATTATTAGTTATTATATTTTTTTTATTTTTTTTTTAAACCTTCGCAATATCGCGAGAAGGCGGATTTTATTAGGTATTTAAATAATACATTCTTGGTTACCCTATCCTGTACCATCCATCACAATCACGCCGTCCCATAACCTCGTGCTGCTTCATAACCTATAGCAGAAGTGTTCTCCGGCTGTTTTGTTCTTAC